AATTTCTCCTCATACATTTCTTTCAGGGATTAGTCATATTAAGGCTTATTTTTTAAAAATGCTTTTTTTGTGACATTCCAAAAGCTTTCCATGCGGTTGTTTTGGTATGTGTTGGAATCACACAACTTAAATCTCCATTGCATTTGCATCACTCCATGACTTCAAAATCATAAAGAAGCTTGAAGAGAAGTACCTCTATTGCATTGAAGTATTGCCAATTTTATTTCTTGAAACACATTAAGACATCATAATTATACAAAATGAAGTCAAAGGCCAAATTACAACTTTTATAGTTTTTGAACACAATTATGTTTTATCCCAGTGCACAATTCTTCTTTATTCATGCATGTGTAATGTTTAAGCATGTAATGTTAATAAATTATTATGCATTTTACTGTGCTTACATCCATTTAGTTGTCTATTATCATAATGAAGGCAAGTAGCTTCTAATTTGCAAGTGCCAAGAATTGAAATGCGTTTGGTATATCATGCTACTTAAAATTCATCAACTAAATTTTATTTAATGTTAGAATTAAAATGGTCGGAAGTCAAAAAACGTATGTGTGAAAAAATTTAAAGGCAACTTAAATAATTTTACTTACTAAACTCGAACACTTGGCAGGGAGTTGATTGTGTTTTTGACAGATGATAATATTACTTGACTAATATAATTAATTTTAAATTTTAGGTTGATATTATTTAAAAAAATTTAGCTAATGTTGAAACTATTAACAATAAATAATTATTTTTATAATAGATGTTTGCTTAGTGAAGTAGTCGATGAGAGGTGGAAGTCTTCGCCTCCTATACGTGATGATCGTGCTGCCTAGTTCAGAAGAGCTGATTAGGAAGATTTTAGGAGAAGTGTAGGAGGGAAATTTGAATGTTGGGACTGTTTAGAGATTTCTTTTTTTATTGTATGCATTAAATAGTTTGTTTTCCTAGGATTAGGACATCTTGAATTTGGATGAAATTTGAGATCTCTTAAGTTTTTGGGCTCTAGCAGCATCTAGAGTTTTGGCCCCTCACAAACATAGATATGATGGAATGCACATTTAAGATGGTTCTAGTGTTTTGATCATGCTGACTTAAGACAAATGAGATCAATTTTTCTTATAATAGAAGTGTTCATGTGATGAGTTTTGAAATTTTTATTTTTCATCTTTATGGTTTGTCGTTTAGAGGTGGAATTATTACGTGCGGAATTCGGATCGGGACAACAGTCTGATTTAATGAGTATACTCAGTAAATGCTACACAAATAGTTAGTAAATTTTTTGTTGAGTATTTATTGAGTATACTTAGTAAACGGGACGATTGTTCCGTCCTGACTCCGCACGTAATAATTTCTTTGTTTAGAGGTGATGGTCTAGCAAAACTTTCTTACTAAGATTTGAGTTGGGCTTTTGGAGAAATGCTCTCCCACTAACTAAATTCAAAATTAATTCTTTTAATTGGATTTTGACATAAATTTAATGACTTTCTATCAACTTAAAATTAACCATCAATCCTATCAAAATTATGTAGGCAACTAAATTGCGGGCTTTGAAAATTCGGCTCCGGTTTTCGCCCGCTGATGCTTTTATCTTCGGGGGGAGTTTTAACGGAATAAGTTTCGAGGTAAATTTTGGGAAGGCAGATGGGTTTGTAGATAAGACACTACCCAGAGATTTCACTCTTATTTTGTGAGAACTTTAAAATCTGAGTTCTAGTTTCCTATAGGCGCAAGCCCCTATAGTTAATTACCTCTCCGAACAAAGAGAGAACTTTCGATTAAGACTAGTCTTCAATCAGATACTTAGATAATACTTGTTATTTGACATATAGTAGCAGCATTAGCATAGGTAATTGAAAGTTCAAGGTTTGGAAGATTTGATATTTAGAATTTGAAATGGCACCATCTTGCACTTAAAGAGGATTGGGGGGGGGGAGTGATGATGAACCCCATCAAGATCCCATGGTTCCGTCGTCCCGGTCCATGGTCCACTTAGTCAGAGGAGGTAGTCGACCCAACCTGATAGAAGGATCCTTGTCAGCAACCATGGGTTGCTTCGTCCAAGGGGACCTTGTAGACTTGGGGTGAATGCTTGTCTAAGGTGACAAATTTAAATCCACCTTAGCTAACAGAGGGCTTTGTGCCCTATCGATTATATCATATTGATTTATATCTCAAGGATTTGATGTCACTAAGGAGTGTATTGGCTCTGGCCATAACTGGTATTTTGTGGTGCCATTTGGCGGAAAAACTACTCAGTTCAGAGGGTCCCGGGTCATAACCGTTTATCTTGCGGTACCATTTGGCTGAAAAATTGTCGGTTAGAAGACACATATAATGTCCTTATTGGAAGGAGGCTATTTGAGAATGGACCCTAATGATACTTTCGACTAGGCATTAACTCTATGTGAGCTGAAATATTTTTCAGACTTACCCACCTCGACAAACTATTGTAGATGGTGGATAGATTTTGCTTTGAGTGGTTGATAATTGAATTTCAATTTTGAATATCTTGGATTTCGATGATTTTTTGATCTTGAGATTTGTGGAATATTGAATTTTGGGTATTCGAGTGGCGTTTTGAATTATTTGGAATGGACCCCTCTGGTTGAGATTTGCATTCAACACGACCATCATCGGGGTGACTTTGACGTAACTTGAATTTTTGTAGGAATTTGAATTTTGTGGAAATTTGGAGGCATTTTATGATTATTTGATGAATCTTGTTGACTCCTACTTACTTGTTTATGAGGATCGAGTTCAGATTTATTAACCCGCGCAGCATCCCTAGACGTCACATGTATGAATACATCACGCTCGCCAAGGCCCATGCGGGTTGTGATTGCACCTACCCCTTTTGTATACCTATGCGTATACAAATTATGGTGCATGTGCAAGGGCATTCTTAAAATATTTATAAATGCCTTCTGTCCGCTAATATGAGTGTTCCGGATCCGGTGGCATATTATAGCAGCTTCTAGATTGAGTTATTTGTTGTTTTGTACAGGTAGATTGTCGTGCACTACTTGTCTCTTTTTGCAGGTGGATTGTAGTGCACTAACGAATCTCCTGCTTCTGGATATAGATGAATCGTAGCGTTGTCACCTGAATCTCACGAGATATTTCATTGTTCTGATATAGACTCCCTTTTCTCATTCATCAGGAGGTCCTTGAAATTTGTGATCGCTGCCTTAAAAAGAACTCTTTTCAAGGTGTATAGTGTATCGGACTTCTACAGGATGTAACATCCATATCTGAATAATTGGCCTTCAAAATGAATAGAGGTTTTAGGACGCAATTGTCATTTCTAGTGTTCGTAGATGTCATTATTGTTTTCTTCCAAAGTATAAAACCAAGAAGAATTTTTGGAACACTAGGAAGTTTAGTTCGAATTTGCTCCTCCATTCTTACAGGAGGTGTCTTTCTCATGGGAAGATTTTGTCCAAGAAACTAGCAGATGCTTGTATTCCTTTTTTTTTTTTTTTTTACAGATGCTTGTATTCCTTGGTTGAACAGTGTCGGCAGAGGTTGTACTATAGCACTATCAATGTGCATGGTATATCGTGTCACCATGCCAAACTCTGAAGATCATTTGCACTTCCCAGGCAGCATCTCAATCATCGTTACTGCGTGTTATATGTACTTGTGTCCACAGGGGTTTGTTGTACTTACAATATATCCACTGTTGTTATCCACAAGTGGCTCGTGTTTATTTACAGGGATCCGTTGTATTCACTACGACCTTTTGGAAGTATTTGTAGAAAAGCCATTGTTCCTGCATCATATTCACCTTTCATCAATCTCAGGTAGTTTGATGTACTTGTTTGCAAGGACGGATCTTCCACTATCAATTGCCAGTGTTGCTATCTCAATCAGCAGGCAAACTGTTGTTTGTGTTGAGGCTCTCATTGATGCAAGTAAGAAACACTCGTACATTCTATAGTCAATTGTCGCCGCTTGCAAGTATAGGGTATTTAGTTGCATGCGAACTATTAATGTTGGCTATAATACATTGCCATTTTCAATGTTTGTTGTCTTTATATGAACTGTTGTGTGCATAATAGGCCCTTTACCATTTCTTGTAAACACCGTCCTTCACTCTACTGACAAATTGTTGCTTGCATCAAGGCCTTCATTAATGCATGTGGGAGATACTCGTGCATTCTACACATGACTGTTATTGCTTGCAAGTACAATACACTTGACCTCATAGGAACTATTGTGGGAGTTTGTTTTATTCATCATGGTCTCCTTGCATATACTTGTAGGATGATGGTTAATGTTATTACAAGTCCTTGATTTTTTGTCTTTGGGATGAACACTTGTATTATAGGTTCCTTTTTCTTTCTCACATATTGATTGATTTGAGCACATGAGTTTCATATTATTCATTTGTTGAGAAATTTGTGCAATCATCTGCACTCATACTATTACATTCCCTTTTGGTTTTTGTTGATCCATGCTTGCAAGCAAGTTATATCACAAGTTCACTTGTGCATCAATGTTTGTTTGAGTGCACTGAAGGCTTGATTCAAATCAAGTCTAAGATCATAAGTCCTTACAAGTTCTTATATTCAGTTCACATCAAGCTAAAGTCCAAATTTGTAAGTCTGATGTTCAAAAGTTTGCAAGTTCAATTTCACCTAAACGCGCTGCTTAGGTACGTCACTTTCCCTCTTTTTTTGTTTCGTTTTCCATGGCATACAGGTCAACAATAATCTTAACTGAGAGAGGCAATTAGTTAAATATGATTATAGATTAAGCAATAACATTTATATATTTAGTGAATGAGAAGTTTTTTGTCACGCATTTCACCCCTTCACCTACTTGTTCTATTTTAAATGGCTGTTAAGTTTCTGACATTAATAATGATACTTGTTTAATCTTTTCATGTCATTTATCAATTTTTTGAGCCTGTGGTTCTTATTTTTTTGTGAATGTCAGACTCAATATCTCAAACTTGCGTTTCTTTTTTACTTTTCTAAAAATAAATAATATTATTTCAGGTTTCTTCCCAGGCTGTCAAAAGAAATATTGAGTGCAATTACAAAGAATTATATTATACCGAAGAAAAACTCCGTGATTTTCATAATTACATGGTGTTATCTGACCTGCATATATTGCAAAGCTTTTTTGTGGAACCATCCAATTTAATGAAATTTCACTTTACAGTTGATCTCTTGAGCAATAATGCATTAGGCCTTCTTGCTAACTTAGTTACTAAAGGCAAGATTAACTTTGAGAGAACACGCCCAAGAATGAAAAAGATTATAAAGAATCATTTTCCAAATGTTCTTTCAGCATCAAAAGATGGGGCATTGATAGCAACTCTTCATCAGTTATGTGAAATTTTGAGAAACTCTAAGAATTATGAGGAGAAACAATCAAGCTTAATGACTCCAGCGTGTTCATCTACTCTACCATCCCTATACAAAGCTTTGAAGCTACTTGACAGCATGCCTCTCTTTGTTCTCATTGCATTGAATAGGAAACTTAAGGGTAAAATGGCGGTTCCCCGGTTTCCGCCTTCCAAGATTGGATACAATAAGAAAGTGTTTGTTAATAAGATTAGGAAAATATGTCAGAAACTCATTCTAATTCTAAATAATGAAAATTCCATGCCGGAAGAACTACTGAAAGCAATGTCTATAATCCATCTTTATTTCAAGTACAAAACAAAGGTTTCTGACATATTTACAGCAAAATTCTTCTCTTTCTCAATAGAAACAGTTATCCTGCAGAATGATATCTTAAAAGCTCTTTGGTCCATCCCAAAGGTTACATCTTATCAGATAAATGCTTTGCAGACTATTCTTGGAGTCAAATTGGGAAATGATTCTAGTAGCTTCCTTAATGATCTTAAGCAATATTTGGTTCAATATCTGTTTGAATGTGATGGAATAGAGATCCCTAGTGATGTCTCTAATGTTTTAGCCACACTAAACAAGAGTTCTCGTATTCAACCTCAAATATGCTCAAACGAGACTATTGAACTAGAGACCGAGGCTATCTTTAATGTGAGCGTTGAGCTTAATCAAGTTGTATCAAACTTGGTGTCATGCACTAGCTCTGATGAGAAAGCTGCAGAGAGTCTAGAAAGTGACGATGATACCAAGAGCAATGATTTTGAACTTGTTGAGAATGGCTATTGTTCCAATCCTGTCAAAAGTCAGCAGAAACAGAAGACTGATTTTTCTATAAATGATGAATTAGAGACTACTGGAGATTCAAAGCCTGGAACATCCTTTATTTCTGCTACTACTGATAGGTGCAGTGATGTTCTCCTTTCTGAGGCTTCTAAGAGTATAGATCATGGTTTTGTCCAAAGCCCCCTTTGTACAGATTGCAGAGAAACTTCTCTCCCGAGTACCCAAGCATCTAAAGATTGTAGAGATATTTCAATCAAAGAACTTTGTGATGAGACGAGTTTAGTTTCTTATAGACTTATAGGTCACATGCTGAATAGTTTTTTGCTTGTGGAAGGTCGAGATGTAGGTGCTGCGACTAGGCAACATCTCACTGGTGAAGCATCGCATTCTGCAACTTTTAAAGGTACTATATAGTGATTCATTGAGAACCATTGCGTTAAATTGATAAATACTTTCTTTTGCTGATTAAGGCTTCGTTTGGGGCGGCTTTCTTGCAGCTTCTTAAAACAGCTTTTTTGTACAAAAATTAGAATTTTTATACGAAGCCTAAATGATGTTTCGATTTTCTTTTAAAGCAGATAAAATAGACGTGCTAAATGCTTACGGGGAGAATGTTGGCATGAAGGTCTTCATGCATTCCTTAAAGGATCTGCTACCTTCTATGACAAAGAGGTACTGCATTTTTATTCATTTTGTGGACAATAAGAAGTTCTTGATCCTGAAGGGCAATTTTACATATTTCTTTTGTCTTTGTTTTTCATTTACATGATAGCTTTCATGAACAAAGTTCTTATCCTCTTAACCTTTTCTCTCCTGCTAACAGATGCACACAGAGTGTGGTGAAACTCATCAAGCAGCCTTGATTATTTAATTGCTTATTTAAATTTTGGATGGAGTATATTATTACGCGAACCAGTCATCAGAGCTACAGGCAAGGTCCAATCCTGCTCTGAGTTTTTTTGTTTGTCCCATATCAGTTTCTTCATTATGTAATCCTTATGTACTAATCTTGTTTTGTTGCTGTACATTTCTTGCCAATGAAAAAGCACCGGTTTACGAAGTATAGTCGTATTGCGTGAAATCTCCTATCATTTCTTTCTCTCCATATGATGTTTTTAAGGATGTCTAAGTATAGTCGCATTCAAAAAATAAGTGTTTGGTTGGGTAAATTTAAAATTAAACTAATTGGAAGGGTATTCGACTATCTGACTTCTATTGTTTGACAATATTTCTTATAAGAACCTTCTAGAAAAAATTCAAACCTTTAATATTTTATTATGCTTTAGGGTTCCTATCATCAATATTCTAGTCATTAAATGGAATTTAAATTTTGATAAAATTTAATGCTCTGCGGGGTAGTGTATAACCTACCTAAACTAATTCCACACTCTAAAATCTATTTATTGAATAAATGTAAATTTTAAAATGATGATTTTTATACAGAAGCAACCAACATTAAAATAAAAATCCTTTTTAAAGATTGCTAATTTTCACATAAACAAAAATTAAAATTTGAAACATATTTATATTTTAATATTTTATCAATCAAAATAAAATTAGGAATGCTAGTTTGCAATATCATATATTTTTCACAGATCATCAAAGCAGAAAATAAGATAACGACAATGTAAGTAGCAAAAAAAAATAAAAGAAATACAAATCATTTATAGTAATTTGGTCAACTTAATCTACGTCCACTATTCGAACTTTTATTTGGTCGGTGAACGTACGCATCTCTACGTTCGGCCACCAATCTTATAACGCCACGTAGAAAACCGCAGATTCGACCCGGTGAATAGTGGGTTTGGTGCACGTGCGTATTTTAAATCCGTGACGATCCGACCCGGTGAATTGTAGGTTTGGCGCACGTGCGTGCAATCCCGGGTTCTGGTTCGGGTCAAGTCGTCGGGCCGCGCGGTAAAGAGTAAGAGCACGTGGCGAAATATTATTGGTGGCTGAACGTAGCTCTACGTCCGGTCAGAGGACGTAATAATTGTTCCCACTCTCCAAGTCATTTTCTAAGAAATTTAGGAGAACTGATATACATTAGATAAAAAAAACCTTGGTGAATCTCTCTCGCACAACTCTTTGCTTTGTTCATTGTGAGATAGTTCAAACAAGTTCTCTATTTATTTAGATTGTACTATATATGTTATATAGTGCAAAATATTATTTTGGTCGATCAATTCAAATTTGAATTTATCTATGTTAAAATCATTAAATAATCATATATTATAAAATTCTTTCCACTTTCGATAGGACGATCAATTCAAATTTGAATTTATCTATTTAAAAAAAGGATAATAGGGGGTTTAATTCAAAACAGCAAATCATTCATGATGATTTTGATCACACATGATGATTTTCATCTTACAAATTGATTTGCCATTTTTTATTTTAATTTTAATTTTTTTTGTTAAATTAGTATAATGAGTAATATTTGTGATAATCAAAATCTTAGTGTTTGCACTGGCTCATGAGATCCAACAACATTAAGAACATGTCAACGAAAGTTCAGTAGTTGGTTATAAAATCAATTGAGTGTTGAAATGACACGTCAAGAGGGGGTGAATTGATATTTTAAATGCTTTTTAAAAATATTTTTTAATTTGAAAATAAATTCAATATTTAATGTGCAAGCAAATAGCAAAACAAATACTAATGTCTTTGTTTTTTATTTTGGAAGAAATAATTACTAACAAATTTTTTTTTTTTGTTCTTTTATTTTTTTTATTATTTATTTATTTTTGAAACAAATATCAATTCTAATAAACCATGATGACTTTCGTTTCACAATGATAATCAAACTCAAATCAGATTGCAGAAAAGTAAACATGCATGAAAGTAAGATCTGCAGAAAATAAATGCAAAAAGAAAAAGAATGAAAATAGAATTTTTATAGTGATGATCAGCTTGACCTACAACTACTCCTCGAAGCCCTCCTCTTTGGGTACCACACTAATCAATAATGACTCTCTATCCCCAAGGCTAGGAGGAGAAGCCCTTACATACTCAAATCACTTTCACCTCCTTGGTGCGACGGAGCAGACAAAATCCCTCTCACCTTCTCAATGTGGCGGAGAGCCGAAATCTCTTTCAGCTGTTCGTTGCGACAAAGAGCTAAAATCCTTTACACCCCCTTGGCGCTACGGAGTAGCCAGTGTCTTTTGACACCAAAGGATTCTTCACAAAGCTTCCCTTAAGACAAGCATTGGCACATAGAGGGACTCAAGTGCATGTTGGCCGGTGTAACAGTGTGAAAACCCTCACACTCCCTTGAACCTAAAAGGATTTTCTCCCTCTTGTACAACCTCACTCTTTCTCTCTCTTTGCTCAATGCTTTCTCTTCAAACTCTCTCAAGAAGAAACAGACCTCTGATTAAGACTTCATAAGTTATAATAAGAGCTTAAATAGGGGGCTTCCAAAAATTATAATTCTTTCGACTTTGTTCGTACAATATGATTTTAGGATCATATAGTATGATTAATTCAATGCCGTCATAGATCATCCTATACGATTGGGAATCATTCAATATGATTAGTTTAAATCAAACATCAGATCGTAAATGATGAACTAAAGTTCATCCATAGAGTCATCGGGTGATTCATACATTAAGATACATGATCACATTGTACTATCTGCGATAATTAATAAATATTCGATTTGATTCTTTAATGCCCGACCTTAAATTAGACAACATTAATTAAGTATCTTACAGTACAAATAAATTTGTACTATACTAACAGCATAAATTCTAAATTTCAAAATTTTCTATTTTAAGTAAGTTGGATTCAATGGCGGGGTTTCTAAAATTGGTTAATCGTTTAGTACGATATCCAATTCATATAATATAATTAGTTATAACTAAAAATTATTCCTCTCATTTAAATTAAATATTTTAATTATTTTTTGTTTGAACTAATCGTACAATATTATATGTATCATATAGTACGATTAACAAAAAAATTAAAATATTTTTTTTTCATTCCCCCTTACGTGTGTGTGCACGATTGTTAAACTAACATACACTTATTACATACATCAATTCAAGAAATAAAATTATACATTCTTTCAAAACAAGTCTAACTTATGTAACACTTTCTTGAGCTCTAATTCTTTGACGATGCTTTGTGTTTGTTAAACCTGAAATGTTAGCGACACATAAAAAATATGCAGAATATAGAGTAGGAGAAACTAAATAAATATCCAATAATATTTGTAATAATCAAACCATAAGGTTGAGCTCCTAGATTGCAATAATCAATTCATTATACATTTACTAATTTCATGGATAATTGGAAAATAAAATTATGTAGTTCTATCGACGATAAAAGTTGAATACATCATTGCAATAAGTTTTATTACCAAGTCTTTTGATTAAAACAACAACAACTTGATTTTGGCCTGTAAATGGAGGACATAATGCCTACTTTATGTGATAATACTATTATCATTTTTATCATAAAAAATCTAATTCAACATCCTTGAATAAAGCATATTGATATTCATCATCACTTTATAAGAAATCATATATCAAAAGGTAGTGTTGACATTCAGTTTATCAATACTAAAAATTAATTTGTGGATATCTTTACGAAGGCACTTAGTTATGAAAGGGTTAGTGCACTTAGAATAAGATTAGGAGTAATAGACTTAGGTGCTTAGACCATATGACATAGTGCTTATGTTTGTAAATATACATATGTTATGAATGTTTGTGTTCTACAATTTTTGTCATATTTATGTGTTATTATTTTGATTATATTTTTACATGCAGTAGGAGGTCCATAAACACTAGTAAATAAAAGTGATGAAAAAAATGAAAACCAAATTTGTATAACACATTGTACCATACGATACATGTAGCATCACACAAATTGACTTAGTCAACTATCCATTTAGAAAAGCTTGTTGGGATAATAAAAAAGAAACATATCATATTGTATAATGATATTTATCATACTGTACAATGAATAAAGTCAATCTTGCCATTGAGATGATTTGGCTATAATAGATTGTATAGTATGATAATGATCATACTGTACAACTAACAAAAGTTGAAAATTTAAATAGGGGTTGAATCTCTCTTTCCCTTGCGCCAATCTATAAGTATTGCATTCTTGAGATTCCTTCATCCTCTAAGAGCTCTCTCTTTTGATTTTCCTTTAAAAAGGAAAGTGATCACGTGTTGTAGGGTCTTCATCTCGTGCATAAAGAGATGAATATTTTTGCTTAGAAGAAGATGAAGCAGTGACGAGAGAGAGAGAGAGAGAGAGAGAGAGAGAGAGAGAGAGAGAGAGCAGTAGGGCTATGACGGATGTGTTAAGGAAGCAGAGTTTTGGAGAATGAGAGTGATTAGGGTTTCTTGCAAACCCCAGGAAGTTCTTCATCATTTTTCTTGTGGTGAGAAGATATCCTTCTTCTTTTCTAGTTATGTATGGATCTTTCTACTGATTTTCCTCCGCTTAAATCAATTATGGATCCTAAATCTTCATCCAAAAAGTCTACGTCAAACATGAAAGCTTGGAATGGGTTATTGGCTGCTTATCAATCATTACCTAAAACTTTTTCTATTTCTTTTATTCCTTTTACATATAATCTTGTTCATTTTTTTGAAGGAAATGTTTCGGTTGCCTTTGAAAAACGGGGAATGATATTGGTGGGCCATTCTTTGATAAAAGGCCTTATTTTAAAGATTTAAGAGCTACTATGCTTAAGATCTGGAAATAAAAAGGTAATCTTATTTTACTTGCATTAAGTGAAGGATTTTTCTCGATGAAATTTTCTTGTTTTGAGGATTATGATTTAGTATGGTTGGGAGGATCTTGGTTCCTTTTTAGTATGCATTTTATTATTCAGAGATGGTCTCCCTTACTTTGACCAAAATAAGAAGAATTTTTTTCTATTCCTCTTTGGATACATATTCTTGATCTTCTTTTACTTTATTAGACGCTGATGGTATTTCAAAGATTGTGAGTCTGATTGGAACCCCTATTACTGTTGATTCTCTAACTGCTGAGCAAACTAGACTAACTTTTTCTCATGGTTTGTATTTTGGTTAA